GTGGTAATCCCGCTTCCAAGAGGCAAGTTGCGGTTGTCATCATAATGAACTGATTGTTCCTCTCCGCCAGAGAATTGTTCTGAGGATGATTCGGTAGAGAATGATCGAATGGGATCTTCAGCTGCTTCATAGCCGTCTCAAACTCTGGGGCTTTGTCGGCATAAGCAATCTTGATCTTCTTCAATCCTTTGAAGTGGTTTATTGCATTGACCACGTCCTTGGCAAACCTCTCTTTCGACGGATAGGCCCATATGACGCCTGTGTACCTGTCACGAATGACGAAGATCTCTCGATCAGTACTGATCCCTTGATCAAGGATGTTCCTCGTATCGACAAAATCAAAGGTAACCAGATCCCCAAAAGCTTTGAGCTTTCTCTTGAACGCTCCTCGATGCGTCTTGAAGTGTTTCATCTTTGCTCTGATGCATGACTCACAGTAGGGATTCTTGTAACGGTGTGTGAGTAGATGTTCGATTTTCCTGGCATCTGCTTTCAGAGTTCCTCTTCTCACCATTCTGCTTGCACCGTCAACAATATCCACCTCGATGTCATCTGCATCATCATCGTCAGCTTCTGGTTCACTTTCTCCGGCGACATCTGATCCTACCTCATCTTCTTCTCCAGGAGATGCCTTGAACTTCTTATTCCTCTTTCGTCTTTTGACTTTTGGAGGCTCAATCACAGGGAGGTCGTCATCATCACACATGACGCCTTGAGGATCCACATCACAGTTGATGAAAGCCGATTGGTAATCAGCTTCACCTTCTCCTAGGGTGAACCTTGCGATCATCTCCGCCCTTACATCGTCGGTGGGGTTACAGAAGTCACTGCCCTTGACAATATATGGGATGTTTCCCTCTACTTCTAACATGATTTTCTTGTAGTTCGGGGAAACCATGTACGGGTTGCCGCAGGCTGGCCATATGAATGTGTAACCTTCCTCCATGCATTTCTTTCCAACAGACAGTACTGAAGGAGACTCATCTAAGACGAATGGGGAGTAGGTAGAGTCAAATTCGTCGAAATGAATGTCGGCGACTCCCTTTGTGGATGTCACTCCATTTGCGGTATAGAATGACATTGATTGGTCGCTTTCTCTCACTTCCAGACCTAATTTCTTGGCTCTGCCTTTCGATATCAAATCATACCCACATCCTGTGTCCATGATGAACTTTGTTCTTGACCCTTTGGCTGGAATAGACAATGTCTTTGTGTCTGCATGATCTTTCTTTCCCTCGCATACATGAGGAATGACTTTATGATGGAAAACTAGGCCGTCATCTTCGTCAAAAGACATAGTGACCGCTAGGTCACCCTTTGGTCCAACTGGTATTCGGACCCTCTTGATCTCAGTGTAGGGGACCATCAATATGCCTCTTGCCTCTGCGACCTTTTCTTCAAATCTGATTTGTTCTTTCCTCGTGTAGCAGGTGAGCTCTTTCTCATCGTATCGTTTGATGTCTGGACGTAGAGGTTTCCTTTCTACTACCTTCCATTTGTTCCTGACTGAGTAGATCGCTTCGTTCAACATGATCTCACAAGTCTCTTCATCAAAGGATACTTTTGCACCTCCTTCTCTTGCCTTGGCGGATGCAGCAATCCCTTCATCTTCGGATTCGTCCATGAAGAGTTCACCGTCAATGGCTGGGGCTCCAGGCTTCGCCTTAGGCTTCGGTTTGGGTTTTGCCTTGGGCTTTGGCCTATCGTCTCCTGAGTCAGCTGGTGCAGATATCCCTTTCTTAGGAGAGGCTTTTGGGTCATGGTAGAACTTGCAATCCTTCCCTTTGTCACAAGTTCCTCGAATCCACATCCAACATACTGGCTTGTCATTCTTTCCGAAAGAACATCCTCTGGATGGTGATCTGGGTTTCTTGTGACTGAATGGGCAATCTTTCCCCATAGTGCAGTTACCTTTCACGAAGTATTTGCATGGTATCTTCTTCTTGTCTGTACTCGGACTTCGGCTGCGATCCTTTCCATCACCTTTACCTTTCCCCTTTCCCTTTTTGTTCTTGTCTTCAGGATGCTTCTTGGGATTGGGTTTCGGCTTCACTGCAGCAGCGTCTTCTGAGACAACCTGTTCTTGTTGCCCTTTTGGTTTCTTCTTCGGATCAGCTGGTGCAGCTTTCAGTTTTGGAGCAGGTCCGCCTGGTTTGAGATTCTGAAAGATATTGGCCACATTCTTCACTGCCTTCTCCTTTTCCAGGATCATCCTGTCTTCAGTTTGCCGTTCGATGTGCCTTCTGATCATATCACGTAGATGTTTGTATGTCTTCTTGGCATCATCGTCGTTCATGCTGTTGTAGGCGCTGATGTCGTACGCCATGAGGTTTGAGTTCCTGATCTTTCTCCATAGGAGATCCCGAAGAGTTTCGTCGCTCGGGACGTCAACGGGCTTCATTCCTGCCAGAATCTCATCCCAAGTGTGGAAGAACAACGATAAATTCTTGTCTCCTTGATATTCTAGTTGGTAGAGGTGCATTGAAGTATATAAGACTTCCACATTTGATGTTGTCTTGAAATTCATAAGGATCAGGGCTAGGACCTCTCTTCCCTTTATGAGGCTTGATGTTCTCCCTTTTGCATTGATCCTCGTCCTCAACTTCATAGCTACACCTGAACCATCATCTTTCGCATCCATGACGACCTTGGTAAGAGCTAGGCCGAGTTTGGCATCGATTGAATGGAATCTTTGGTCTCCTGAGTCGACAAACTTGTCCGGATCAGGATCGTCCATGGCTTCTTTGATCCAGTCGATCCAGGGCTCTTGATCTGAATCATTGGCCGCAATGATGATCGATTGAATGAGATTTGCCTTCCATAGTCCAAGATCATTGATCCTGGGCCATGACGGAACGTTTATCTTTGATTCTTCCTTCCTCGATACTTTCATGATTGTAGAGGTTGCCGGTGCAAGATGAGATGAAGAGGATGCTTCTGCTTCTGAAATCTTGTCCCTCAATGATTTGTTCGCCTCGGATAGCTCAATTGATTTCTCCCTTTCCTCGGCGTACTCATTGTGGGTTTCGGCATACCATTCATACATCTCATCTCGGCTCTCTGTCATTTCATTGTACCCGTCCTTGTAGTGCTTCGCCTCCTCTTTTGCGTTCCGAACCTCATCTTCCTCGGACGCGTGGGTTGGTAACCCGCGGTCTCTGGAACTAGGACGCTTGCTGTACCGAGAGACTATGGGTGCCATTCGTGCTTCTGCTTTTAATTTCGCATTTTCCATAATGACATTCTTTGTCTCCTTCTGGCTTTCCAATAGTGCATTCTCCAGTTCTCTGATCTTCTGTTGAATTTCAGCACCATCATCGCCGAACATAGGAGCTCTCATCATATTCTCTCTTTTCAGCTGTGCGTTGGCTTCGGATAGAGCGAGGTTGGCGTCTTTCAACTGTTGTCGTTCACGGATGGAACCTTCTAGGACTTCGTTGTTGAATATTTCTCCTTTTGCGATAACCTCCTTTGCGACGTTTGCTTCGTATTCATGGTGGCTCGCCTTCATTTCTGCCATTTCTTTAGCAGAGACTTCAGTCTGGCATACAAATATCTCCATCCTCATGCCCACTTCCATCTCTTCTATCTCCGCTCTCGCGTTGAGTTCAGCTCCACGTGCCATAGCTAGTTGACCTCGTAGATGATCAATAACCATAGCTTCCTGATTGCTCTGATCTTGAGATGAGTGAACACTGTGTTGAAGACGTCTTTCCCTGACCTCACTGTTCCATTGTTCTTCTCTCTGGTGTTGGATCACCTCGTGCATGTTGACATTCTCATCCTGTAGCGCAATCATTCTAGCTTGTATCTGGTCAGCTATTCCGACGAAGGCTGTGTTCTCATCCTGAATGGCTTTTGATCTTCTATTGATCGCCAATGAAGATTCATTCTGTTCTTGGATGTGTCCAATTGCTGCTTGAAGCTCTTGGGACATTCTGTCCTTCGTTGCTTTCACAGATTCAAGCTCTGAATGTTCTTGATGAGTTTCTTGTGCAAGCTCTTGATATCTCATGTAGATATGTTCAGCTGTCGATTCCGCCAAGCGTAGCTTGTGTTCGAGCTCTTCAATTCTTATTGTCGCTCCTTCATCTTCCTGTGTCATCTCTTGTAGATGTTCCTGCATCTTCCTGTTGTAGTCAGACATTTGCCTGAACTCCACTTCAGCCTCGTGGTGTAGTCGTGAGTATCCGGCTTGGATGCATTCATATTCTTCATGAAGAAAATTGTATGCGTTTCTCGCCGATCTCAATTCTTCACCCAGCTGAATCTCTCTTCTTTGCTCTTTTGTTCCTCTATCATCGTCACGTCTCTTCTCTATACTCCTTCTTGGGGATCTCGCGGTAGACGTTATAGGCGATGTAGATCTTGTTGTAGCTCTCATCGATCTTCTTGGTCCTACGGGTGCAAGATCGGTCAGATTCCGAGCCGGTGGCACGGATCTTTCCGAGATTTGTGATCCAGTAGGCATAGTGATAACGTCAGCATTTGCTGATGAATCAGTACCCATTGTAGAGTCTGGTGACGAAATGGTGTTGGGACCACCAGGAGCAGCGAATGAATAGGGTTCGCTTCCATTTCCTCCTGAGCTTGACATTGCAGGTTTCTGTAATGACTAGTCTTGTTCTTGGTCTCGTGTAGCTCGTACGGCTATAAAGAGCGCGTACGGCTGATAACCTGCGAGTGGATCTTAATCAGCGAAGTTTGAAGCTATCACTGACGATCCATAAGCGGCGTAGCGTCGGAACGGAAACCGCACCTTTTCTAGTCGCTTGATCCTTGAGCCAAAGTACATATGGTACATATATATGTACAAGTTGCACTGTACGTGTCGCTGCACTTCCATTCGCAAAAAACAATATACAGTGCACAGGCAAAAATCAATGCCAAGCTTTAAAACAAACTTCCCACAAGCCAAACTCTGGCTCATTCTCCAAACTGGACTCCACTCTCTTCTCAGGACGTCGAGACTCCAGCTACGTTGCGCGTGCGCCGGTCGCCTAAGTGTCCATATTTGGTGAGATCCGCCTGGTTGGGTGCCTGAGAGATCCGGAAATCCACGCGGCCCATGCTGTGAAGAAACGGGTGATGAAAACCAGTCCTGGTGGGGAGGGTGATGTAAACTGGGAGGCGTCTTCCGGAGCATTTTGGGGGGTTTGGTGAGTGGTCACAGGGGTTCTTACATGTTCTTACAGTCTGTATAAATGGCCCATGATATGTATTTAGCAGCCTCCTTACCTTAAGTGTCTAAAGCTACAGGCTTCGTTCCTTACAGAGATATGGTTGAAAGTGGTTCTGCAGTGTCTGATGCTCAATCCACAAAAGATCCGTAACTCATTTGGTGTTGGGACCCAGTCGGTGGCGGCTCAAAAGTATTTCAAAGGGAGAATCTATCCCATAGGCTCAATGGGACTGCCATCTATGGGGGGTCAATTGATCGGCAGTCCTATGGCAGTCCCATGGAGTCTATGGGTATGAGAACCTGGGATCCACACGTCAAACGTGAATGGCATGTGACTCTGACCGACTTGCGAGTTTCGTTTCCGGGCCGTTGACACGACGTTAGCAGTGTCCTCGTCATCGTTCATGGCATGTAAAAGTAATAGCCAACTGCAAATGTGACAAAAACAGAATTCGCTACCCTGAACTACCTTCGGCTTTGAGGATGTGAAGAAGACACCTTTCCATATTGAATTCAAGCAACATTCTTGCTTGTTGATGTGTCTTGCGCTGGGAGGTCTTCTTTGTATCTCGGTCTTCGGTAGCAGCAGCAAATCGGCCTCGGACACGTAGGACCAGTCCACACAGCCACACAGCTGGAGTCAGATCCCGTTCGATCCCCGTTCGGCAACAAGGGACACGAGAGAAGGGCTTCCTCCTCCGGAGCTGCCCCAAAGCAGGATCCTCTTTGGATTCACAAGAGAAGGGCTTCTCATATCTTCTCATATCTTCAAAGCAAAGACCGTCGACGATCGAAGACCGATCATAATAGAATTTGGCTCACATGAAGAAGCTTTGACCATCGTTGACCGGAGATCTTGAGCATCTTGATCATGTTCGATCGTTTGTTCGATCCTTTGGAGGCCCAAGAAGGTACAGTTAGTGCGAAGGTGCGATGCAAACGTGTGCCACGCATCGAATCGAAAGGAGAATCGATGTGCCATGCATCACATCTGACAAATGATTCAAGGCGCTATGTTGAAGGTGTTTTTCTGCAGCAAGACCAGGTGAAATTTGTCAGAGTCATGATAGATTATGACAGCCCTTAGGCTGAAACAAGGTTCCTCCCAACTCCACCCATTTGCAGATCTGAGCAGAGCTGAGCAGAGCCGAGAGACGTGAGTCGTGTACTCTTTCTGGAGCTGGGTAGCGTGTCATAAGCTCCACCATGGAGACTGCTCGTGCCCATCTCTTCCATGGCACCGTTGAAGATGTTGGTGACCTACGGTCACCGTCAATCAACTGGATGCAGGCTACTGGATGGTACAGGGAACCCAATGCAGTGCTTTTGCTTGGTGTTGGATTCCAAAAGAGACGGAGAACCGTTCAAAACTACGCAATAGGTTGGTTTGATGACAGGATATGAGTTTGGATTGTGCATGGACATTTCTGGATAAGAAGACTAAAAACATCTCGACTCAAGATACACATATTGTTATAATATATGCCATCTGGGCATGAACACACGTATTGTGCAAAAGCTAAACAGAACAGGGTCTGATTCACGCCAACAGTGCGAGCAGTCTACTGGCCTTCGCATAAATTAAATTGAAGTGACTTGTCTACATGCATTACTGCTTGACGGCTTCATCAAATGACCGTAATTGTGAATACTTCATAATTATGCCGGCAAACAAGCGTCAACCGAGTCCGTGACATTTGCTCTGAAGAGGCTCCGTGTCACATCCTGCGGTGCTTCCCGAACGAAGGCTGTGTGAGTGGCTGTTGTGAGCAAAGGGGAACCCATGGACAAACATGTTAACGATCCCGGGCAACAAACATATAAATATATATATATGTATATATAAAGAGGCATGACAAACTAATGTTCTTGGTCTTTTTTCCGTGCCATGATCACCTGGGAGTTCCAGTGCAACACTGATTGGCAGCCAAAAACACATCGTGCTGCCTCTCGAAGGGGTGATGTATTAAAATAATGTTACTGCGTAGGATGTTATTCCAAAGAATAAACAACAGTAACAGCAAATGGATGTTATTTATCCAAATAACAGGTTGTAATAATGTTTTCATCCATCGTTCCAAAGAATCCGTGTTGGGAACGTGGTGATTCCTTTGGTGGCTGTCACTCAATAGCGGCGGCTGGCGGCGAAGAAGGGTGACGCAGGACCATCCCCTAACAATAAGAACCAAGCAGTTGCGAAAACGTACAGTCCCCCGGAATAGTCATGGTTACGTGGATAGCATGACCACTTGTCCGAAAACCAAACAAGTGAGGTTGTGTAAAAAACCCTCTACCTTCCAGAAAAAAACGGACATTGTGTTAGACCAATTTCTTGGACATGGGGGGGTTTGTATACTCTCTCAACTGGTGAACTCCACGTCTCCATGATTCTTGATTTGGGAGTGACTCTATCTTCATGTGACAAGAATACTGCGGGGATGAGGACTGGGATATGACTTTTCGAAAATCTCAGCGTACACGCAGTGCATCAATGGTTGGAGGGGTATTGCATCAATGGTTGGAGGTCTGCGAGAATCTTTGGAATCAGGCCTATGATGGGCTCTACCGTATCAAGAGAGAGAGAGAGAGAGTCCATTCGTTTGTGCTTTCACAGGAGAGTTCAATAATATAGTAAACAAAGTCACAAAGCCATTGAAGCCACTGGCTTTCTGCAGGTTCATCCTCGTCTTGTTCCACATAGACTTTAGGCCATGGAAGCTAGACTCTAGCTTCAAGTTTGCCCGACTGTCTAGAGATAGTTAGAGTTTAGTTTTGACACCAGATTTGGTGATCTTCAGTCGCTGCAGTCGCTGTGGTCAGTCGATTGGACTCTGATCTCTCTCCTTCCTTCTCCGCGAAACAACCCAGGAACCCCTCCTGCTTGCGCTCGCGGGTGAAGACCTGCCCCGATTCATTGGTGCGGTTGCCCTCCTCATCCTCTTTGCCTGAGGTCTTTTCTGCAAAAGCATGAAGCACTACAGGTCTCTCAGGTTGCTCGTGCTGTTGCGAAAGATATCTTAGGGACCAAAGCTATGACGTATTTACTCAAAATTCCATGACGTGTAGATCCTTATAACTTAATACTGACACTACGTAATGGTTTTCATCTAACTCCAGTACATGTATATATTGTATTGGCCCCAAGCTCTTCAAAATTTGTAGAAGCTGCAGATTAATCAAATTACCAAGACCGTGCGGTTGAGAAAATGACTCGGACATCCAGCCGGAGTGTCATTGGGACCCAAGGTGCCAAGAACAAAATACTGAATTGCTTTAAACATCCCTGATACCAAGCCAAACTTGAGAGACGTTTTCTTGGGGAGAAGAACCTGCAAGACGAACGAACCAAATTCCATCATTGTTTCACCTGGCATTGAGATGTTGGTGCCAAGGGTAAGAAAAGTGTCTTCGTGGGGAATGTTGAATCAACGCCGATCCGAGTAAAGGCACGGTTGATCCCACAAAAGCAGATATGTTGGTGTGATATAGCAGTATAGATGCAGTAGTAATAATGTATAATAGAGTAGTGTAGTGTAACTCCTCCTTACTGTCAACACACAATTTGTTAATCGTCCTGCTATGGAGGTGACATATCTCAGCTTGATTCGATCACTCCGCCTGAGTGGCACGCATACACTGTGATGGGATACAAATGTGGGTCATGCGAACGAACACAGGATGTGCATTTGTCTGTCACCGTCAGAACCACTTCCAACAACTTCATTGGCCAAATCATGCCAACCTTCGACAGAGTGTTTTCATGCGACGAAGTCTATTGAAGTCTGTACCCTTCCCAGGTCTCTTCGTCTCTTGCTCCAAAGTGCTGGATCCCACCACCACATAATCCTGAGCGCCAGCCAATGATCGCACTTTAGAGATTGGAGGTATGGTGCGCAACCCCCAAACAAGGTCTCTTTTGGATGTTCGTTGATGTGCGTTAAAGTTATTATGAAAGTAAAGAACCAGTTTACTTACAGCTCACCTGTCGTTAGGAGCCACTTCGATGTAGTGATGCTGCTAGTGGGGTGACTCCAACACCAACAAAGTCCGGTTCTTGAGAAGCCCGAAACGTCTCATCTTTCGCAGGCCAAGTACTGTCATGATGCCAATCTGTTGGAACATCACCCTCGGACATCTTCGGACAACGCCCCAGGTTTCAGGTCTCACTCACGCCCACTCACGCTGAAGCGCTTGGCGCAGGTCGAAGCCTTATTGGGAAGCCTGCCTTTGGCCCGGCCGAGATGCACTCACGCGCGTGCGGAACTTCCAGATTTCCGCCTGCAACTGCGCCGCAGCGCTTTGCGCCTTGCTCCAACGGAGCCTTGGTCGGAAGGACTAGGATGGAAGGTTGGCCTGGATCGATCTACCCAGTCATAGGCTACCAATAGGCCCATAGGCAAAATGAGGTCAACCCACATTGATCGTCTGCAAATCATCACCATTGCCCACCCTCCACCTTCCCTTCTTTTCCATCCAACCTCCACCAACCTCCACCTTTCGCTCCTTCTCATGCATAGCACAACTAATTCCCAGACACTCCATGGGACTGCCATAGGACTGCCGATCAGAGGCCAGGGGTGGTGCCAGGGGGGTCAATTGATCGGCAGTCCTATGGCAGTCCCATGGAGTGTATGGGATTACGTCACGCAAGGCTTGGCCATCCCGATCCCCGTCGATTCGAAGCCGGGGCGCATGAAGCGGAAGCGCCCCACGAGACCGGAGATGAAGGTGCTGGCCGCCGAGACGCCGGGCAGCCCCCAGCGGAGCAAGGGCTGTGGTAGCCAGGTCCTGCAAGTAGTACTAAGTTCACAGTTCACAAGGATCAGGAATGGTGTGGGCCTGGTGTGTGGGCAAAACCCACGGAGCGAAGTTGTTCTCTGATCCGGCATGTGTTTTCCAGGGCGCGGTCTTGAGCAGTTGAGGTCAAGGCAGTAGACTCTTAGAAAACGTTTTTTGAACGTAGTTGCGCAGCAAGAAGAAATTCCTCCGGACCTATTTAGTGGCAGAGCCCGGTAGAATTGTGGTTCAGGATGTTTCATGATGTTCCATGGAGGCAAGAACACATTTGTTTGGAATGATTCATTTCAGTCTATGCCAGGTTTCTCCAATCATCTCCAATCTGTTGGAATATCTGATATATAAAGTAGAGGGAGAGAGTCCCTCTGTGAGGAAAATTGAATAACCACACACTGTTATGAGATTCAGTTTGACAAACTGAATTTCAGATTGGTCCAATTGATTCATCCTGCTGCTGCTGCTGCAGAAAATACGATGGTTTCACAATAGACAAGCTGGAGTGAACATTGGGACTCGCCATAACCTGCATGGGAAGACTAGATGCCCCTGCTGGCTATTTCCTTGCTATTTCCTACAAAACGCGTAGGTGCTTGAACTCCTTACTCCTTCGTGATGAACCTAAGGTTTGCACGAGCCCCGTGTTGAAAAAGAACGGGTGGATCTGATTTGCAGCCAAGAATCAAGAAGTATGGCGCGCTACCTTGCACCGAACAGCATGGGATCAAATATGCAACCCCCCACCTTCCACATGTGCCACATGCACAACACATTGACAAGTAGAAAGTCTTACCTGAATGAAACAAGACATCTCAAGAGTAATTCAAGCCTCTGATGGGAACATCGAATTAAAGCATGGTGCACATATCGAAACTCCTCTCAAGAAGTGCATCCAGGAGCCAAACTTCGACGGAGGTGATACTACTGTAAATTATTGAAGATCCAAACACTCACACTTCCGAGAGTGCACACCTGGAGAGAACTCAATCTCCAGAACACACAAACATTCCAAGCCAACTTGCACAAGAAAACAACAGACAATAAGAGTATGTCCAAGTTGCTATTCCGCGCCAGCGCAAGGAGCAAAGACAGGAAGTTTAAGCCTAGGAGCCTCAAACACAGACAGAAAACTCTAGATGCTTGCAAGGCTATAGGCCTACCAACTCAGTCGTTTGGCACCATCTACAGCTGACCGACTCCCTACACCTCGATAGCAGAAGTGAACGGTCTCTTGAAATCCAGATCAAAGCCTTCTCCGCCTAAAAGCTACCGCAAATAATTTCAAGGTTCAGCGAGGGTTCTCAACCAAACAATCCTTGAGTTACTGTAATTAGATTATCCAATCCTTAAGTTAATCTGAACCCACACAACCCAAAACATTATCCAAAGTAAGCGTATTGTTGGTGGCCTATTTTCCCTTGGATATGGTTGTTCGGTGCTAGAAACCCCGGCAAATAGTCCGAGCCCCACAACAGAGTCAACTTTACTACTTACTACTACTACTACTACTACTACTACTACTACTACTACTACTACTA